GGGGGGGGGGGGCTGGACGAGGCACACTCGCGGAGGGCGACCGACGACGGCGACGGCCAGAGCCATGACTGTGAGGTTCGTGCTCAAAGAGCGGCTCAAAAGCGCGACGGTGGCGCGCCGGCGCTCAATGCGGCGTCGTGAGGAGAAAACGCCGTCAATAACCGCCCCGACAACAACGGCATCAACAACCGCAACAACACCACGAGTAACGCTCCGTGTGTGAGTGTAAAGGGGAGTGGGGGTGGGTCGGCAGTCATACCCAGAGAAACTTGCAAACTCGTCAAAATTGCACAAGCCACAATGACCCCTTTTATTTCCTGGTGACCTGGCTTGTACAGCAAAATAATTATTGGCGCGTCCCGCGACCCGTCCGATGACCCCCCTCCCGCCTCCTCCCCCCACGATGCGTGCGTGTGCAAGAGTGTGGTGCAGAGCGGCGGCAATCGTTTCTCACACTGCAGCGTGCGGAATGCGAGGGACAAAGTATAATGGTAATAATAATAACAACAATGATGATAATAATAATGCCGAGACAAACAACAAATGCCGTCATTTTATTGCCGCCGCTCGCTCGCCCTCGGACGGCACCCGGCCTCTCCCCGCTCCAACTGTCCCTCCCGCCCCCGGCCGCGGCCGCGCAGACCTCAGCCGAAAATGTAGTGGGCGCGCGAGAGCGGCCAGCCAATACAACGCGGTGGTGGAGGGTCGGGCCCGCGGCCAGGCCCGTGCTCAGCTTCGGGGCGGGGCGGGGCGGGCGGAGCCAGGCCGCGGCCGCTGCTGGTGCCACCCCGACGGTGTGATAACCCCTGGCGCGAGGGTGGCCGTGGCCGGCGCGAAGCTGTCCATACAGCCGAGGCTCTCCCACCCCCCGCCCGCCCCTTCGTCCGTCGCGCGGTTCGTCGCGACTAGACCTCGCGAGACTAGACAAACACGCGACTCGCCGAGACGTTCGCGGCTAAGCGTTTTGTTGCCGTCATACATTGCAGTGAGTACGCACTACACACTGGATGCCGCAGGAGAGAGCCCCGGCCTAGAGGAGGCCGGCGGCCAGGAGCGGACAGCCCCGCGGGTCGCCATTGGTGACCTTGCCTCTCACCGTCCGCCACCGGTTTCGGCCACTAAAATAAATAGTTCGAGTCTAGCCGCGCTCTGGTTCTGTCTGTATCTGGCCGGCCGGCCAACGGCCCGGCGCCGGCGCCGCCTGCCTAGACCTTCCCTTCCTGGTCCTGCCTGCGCCGTTCAGCCTCCCCTCCATCCCAATAGCGACCAATCTAGCCCCGCCCGACACGCACTTCGTGCTGCTGGAGATCGCGGCTGCGGGCCTTGGGTGACGGACAACGAGTGGGCAAGGTCCTCCGTGAGGCCCAAAAGGTTTATACCGCGGCATCGGCCCCTTTGTCGGCGCCGGGTTGGGTTGGGCGCCGCCCCGCCCCGCGCGGCGCTGAAGGCCGCCCACGCTCCTCCATCATAGTTCTCCCGGTCTCCTCCATCACAATGCCACCCTTTTTGTTATCATTATTTTGCGCAACCTATTCTCCGGCAGCAGCCAGCTTTAGATGCTCGGCCAAGATGAGGTGCCGAGCCGGGACACAACCGGACATGCTCCGGAGGCGAGCTCCTCCGGTCGGTGACCGACTACTTGGCCTGGGCTAACCGAAGACCCCAGCCCACTTTGATAGGTATACTGTACGGCATTGCTCGCGTGTAGGTCGGCTGCCTACTCGCACGGGGTCCGCGAGGAGGCGAACCGAAGCAATCCAGTATAATACGAACGTGGTAAACGAGTTTTTTTTTAGCGGGGGTATTTGTATTTCGATCCGCGCACTTTGCCCCCGGCCGGACCACACTCACGGTTAATGATCCGCTCTGACATGTACCCCCTCCCTCTCGTCCCCCGTCCCCCGCTCCGGAAGGCCATCCAGTCTTAGCAATGAGGAAATGAGGGGGGGATTCGTATCACAGCGCCATCTGTAATGCACGCCGCGAAGACCGGTGCTCTCTCTCCCTCTCTCTCTTACACACACACACCATCTTCCTTGCTTCATTTTCTTTCTCCCGTCCATTTCCCCCACCGGCGCAGCGTCAATGGCATCGTTGAATGTATCGACGTGTGTGTGTGTGTGTGTGTGTGTGTATCTGAGTGAGTGTCTGTGGACGCGGATGACGGGAAACGGTGGCGGAAATGATTTGGAAATGTGTCGGCCTAGAAGTCCTGGCGGCTGATCATAAAGTACAAGCGTACTGGCATGTTGAGACGCAGGGTCAGTGTCACCGCAATGGAGGAGTCAATGCTCTGTCCGCCTCACTCCGCACATTCAGGGCATACAGAGCACATAAGTTTCGCAGTTTTGTTTTCCCGAACCAGCCCGGACTGTATTAAGTCTCCAAATAAAATAAAAAAATTAATCCGTCGTTGGCGTCCCTGCCCTGACTGTTTGTCTCACTCTCGATTTTGTTTTTCATAGCATTTCTTATTTTTTTTTTCATTTTTAGGCCTCGAGTTCTGCGACGTCCCTCAGCCCCTCCACTTGGTGGCCGGCTCGCAGAAGTCCTCGACGAGGCTGAGGCTGTCGCCGCCCCTGCTGCAGCGGCCCTGCCGCCTGGAGGTGACGGCGCCGGCCTCCAACGACCTCCGCCTCGAGCTGGTGCCCGTCGTCCCCGTCGTGGAGGCGGACGCCACCCCTGACGCCCAAGAGATCCCGGACGAGAACGACGACGCGTACGACCGCCACCGCCTCGCCCTGTACGAGTTCCGCGACGCCCTCGCCGCCCGGGACCGCAAGGAGGACGACAGCCGCGCAGCGCACCGCAGGGGCGCCGCCATCACCAACCCGGGCATGGAGGCCGTCAGCCTGGTGCGCCAGGACGCCGAGCGCCGCGGCAGCACCGCCAACGCCTCCTGCAACCTCGCCCTGGTAAGCCCGAACGCCGTAATCACCTAATACGTCCCAGCCAGAGTAACGCAAAAATTAAAACAATAATGTAGATAATAACGCCACCCTGGGTAGGCAGCGCGGCAGAGTGTTTGGACGGTTTGGACCGCGCTCCCGAAAAAAAAAAACAAACCAAAAACAAAGCCATGTTGAACTGTTGACGAGGCGCTTGATGGGCGCGATAACGGCCCGCCCTCCTGCTGAGCCTCACGCGACCCCGCCCGCGGCCCTGACTTGTTCACATCGGGTACTCGATCGAGTGGTTTCGAGTAGCAGCCGGAGCCGGGTCGTTAACGCGGTGCTCCTCGGTGTGTGCAGTACGTGCAGGGCGAGGTAGCGTGGGCCGTGGACCTGTGCGACCCCAAGGCCATCGCGGACGCCAACCACCCCGACAGCGCCTTCGCCAAGATGCCCGGCCCGCTGACCCTGGTGTGGACGCCGCCGCGGCCGGGACTCGCCCTGCGCGCGGCCGCCCTCAGCATCACGGCCGTGCGGAAGGGTGAGTACGCAGAGCGCTTGGTTCAGAACAAACGCACGCCGTTCGCACGGCAGTCAGTCTGCGTCGAGATCATTTCTGACCTCTCCCTCCCTACCTTTTGTTGCAGAGGTGCCCGCCGACAACGCCTGCACGGTGGGCGCGGTCAAGCTCGCCGGCAGAGGCCTGGAGTCCGCCATGGCCCTGGAGCTGCTCGACCGCCGGGCGCCCGAGGACCGCGCCGAGCCATGCCGCGTCACCGTGGAGGCGCCCAGCAGCTACCTGCTGTCCCTGCTGCTCGTCAAGGTCGCCGCCGAGGCCGACTCCTCCTCGTCGTACTACTCGTCCTCCGCCGTCTCTAACGAGAGCGACGGCGACCTGGTGGAGGACGAGGAGAACGCCGCGACAGAGGACGCCGCGGCCGCGACGACCAGACCGACCTGCGGACTGAAAGTGGTAGGTGCGGAGCGGCCGCAGCCCGCTGGGTCGACCGTCCCGCGCAGCGCTGCGGTTGGATGGGCGGCCTACCCACCAGGCGTCCCCGCGCTAACCCACTCTGCTCCTCCAGATTCTGGGCTGCTCGACGGAGCTGTGGACGGTGGATCTGTGTGACCCCGCCGAGGCCGCGGCGCTCAACACCACCGAGCTCTTCCCCAACAACGTGACCCTGGTGTGGACCTCGCCGACTCCAACCGTCCAGAGGGGGTCTCAGCGGACGCCTCAGACGACGCCGCAGTTCGCCGCCACCGTCATCCTCACCGCCATCGGGAGAGGTATACCGCGCAATCAAACTTGGACATGAATAAGAGATGCGAGGCAGGACCTGGGCAGAGGGTAGCGGCTGCGGTAGGCCTCCGGCTCCGGCCCCTCGCCATCGTCGGCAGCCTCATTACGGTGCAGACAACCCGCGCCGTGATCCTTCCTAACTAATTTCGAATACTCTCAAATTAAGTGAGTGAATACGCGAAAACGGAATAACGATTTATCCGGAGAGGGCCTGGATCCTGTTTAGCACTTCATTGCAAAGCCTTAGAATAGCGGGACAAACAAGACAGCGTGGGAAAAAAAATAGTTCCGTGCTAATTAATTTGCGAATTTTGCACCCATGCGCGAAAATTGGTGGGAAGTACAAATATTAACATGTGGTACTGTAGGTACGTGCTAAGTGGTACTTGCTATACAGTTGATGGTGTGGAGCGCTGGGCAGCTTAACTAATTGCTTAGTCTTTACTAATTAAGCCGAGCCGCTGACATATTTGCTGTTTCGTTTGCGTGCGATGACTAAACTTACCGGTTGAATATCGAGGCTCAGCAGTGAAGGGATGTTCGTGGTCGAGGCTCTTGGGGTCCGTTCAGGTCTGGGGGTCCGGGCGGTAGGGTAGGGTTCGGGCCGTCTGGGCGGAGAGTGCGACCGGCGGCGTCCTCCTGGTGCCGGCCCTCCACCTCCGCGGCCTCGTTGCATCGTGTCTGCACTGGAAATCAAAACACACGAACACTCGCTTACTTGTCGGTCAGCAGATGAAAATCCACTACTTGCAGGTTGCTGTTGAGTGAGTCTCCATGCCCTCAGCAGGCGCGCAATTGGTCATTCGTACCCTTCATTGTCCAGCGAACAAATATTGGCACTCTGCTCCTCATCTGACGACATGGTTCTCTCCGGCCTCACGACGACACTTCCTTTGCCACTGGACCGTCCCTCACCCCCGACTCGCACAGACTGATGCGCAGCACGCAGCATCCCGCCTCGCCTCGTGCGGCGCCAGGAGCATCGCAGCCCCCCCGCCACCCTGGCCGCCGGGCCGGGCTCCGTGCAATTTCACTTCACTGCCAACTCGACGGGGTGAACTGTGTCGTGGTCCTCAGCGAGGCTGACCCCCCCACCTCTTCCCACCACGCCGCGATGCGCAGGTCGGGGTGCGTTGTGCGTTGCTATCGCCTCTCTCATGCGCGGCGTCGGCCTGACCCAGCGGCGCAATTTAGATCGGGGAGAACAATGGTCGAATAAATAATTGGCTTTATCACCGAAAAGTTGGCAATGCGAAAGATGAAAACTGCCAAACTGCCTTTCTCAGGCAGGACGGCTTCACGGCCGCGTCAGGTTTTTACGACTAGGGTCGACAGGTAAGCCTATTACTGTCACCTATTGTCACTACTTGCGCACTCGCACCGCTCCGCCCGCTCTCGCCGGGGACGTCCTAAGCCTCCTGCACAGTGAAAGTACTCTGATAATATCTGAAGATGTTGTGGTGGCTTTATTTTAAAACTCTACAACAAAACGCGGCGGGAGCGGTAACACGCAGTACTCGCGCCCAAGACACGGGACGCAACACAGACACAACACAAACAGACACGTCCAGCACACAGACACACCGGGAGCCACAAGGTAACCAAGTGGCGTAGTTGTACTTTTAACAATCAGCCTGTCACTCTGATACGGATCGTACGGCGTGTTCCGCGTGCTGTGATGACACAGGTTAGGATGTTGCTTACCGAGTGCTGCTGGCGGGCTCTTTAGACCATGGTCTGCGGGGGGCTCGGCTTGGCCGCCGAGGCGAGCACGGCAGCGAAGCCGAAGCAGTGCGCACGGGTCTTGGGGAGGTGGAGGAGGCCGGTCCGACTGTGCCCGCGGCGGCGGTGTGACTGCCGGAGCGGCGCCAACCCCCGGACCGGGTGGTCGCGCCGGGGACGCCCTTTGCCTTTGGCTCCGACTCTGGCCCCGATCTGGCCCCTCCAGCCCCACTTCCCTCCCGCAAGATCACTAGATAAGCGGCACAAGGCTCTCTGATATTTACATTAAAATCGATCAGGCCCGAGGGATGCGCTATCAGGTGTCGCCCGGCCCGGGCGCCTTTTTTGCGCCTGGGAACCGGACGTGCTGTGTTTTTTTTGTCCTCGCCTCCTAATTAGCATCGCTTTGCTAGTTTGAACGTACGGAATAATAATAAAACCTACTAGGCCGCACCTGTAAAAGGCAGGGGCGGGCAGGTGTTTGGTTTCGGATTACCATGTAAACACCGACGCACCTCCCACGTTTGCCATAGGGCGGGGG